TGAAAATGAAAACGTATTAAAATAATTTAAATACATTTATTTATTTATCTACATGAAATACAAGTTGTAGAGCTTATTAGGTAACGCCCACACAATTGAGGAAGACAAAAAACACGGCAAATTTCATCATCACTAGTATTCATCTTGTGCACATGCACAAAGAAAAATAAAAAAATATATATTATATGTATGTATATAATATATAAAAAAATTTATATTAGATAAATGATGTATTACATTTTAAAATTTGACTAAATGCAAATGTATAATGTAAATATAATTTATTTAACTTACGTATGAATCTTTATATTGATGTTATAAATTTTAATGGCTAATATAATTTAGTAATTTAGAGGGACCATACAATTAATTAGTTACAAAAGTATTATCATTATTTTTATTATTGTTATAGCATTTGTTTATGTGATTTTAAGGTGTTTAATTATGACACTCATGTCAATTAACTAACATTACATAAAAATTGCTTAAAAATAACAAAAATATTTAAATTTATTTTAGAAAAAGTATGTAAAGTTGTAATTTCCACATACTATTTAGTAGTGAATAAATTAGATTAAAATAATTATTACACTTTATTAATGTAAAATATAATAGTTGTACATTAATTGAAAAAATGAGCGGGAAAATAAATAGATGTTTTATTAATTAGGTTTTATTAAATGCTATATGTCAGCAATTATATATATATATATATATAGATTTTGTACTGAAAAAAGAAGGAATTGCATATCAATGGAAAACCCAGTAGCAAATGATCTCGTCGAGTTCTTGAATGCTTCCCCGACAGCTTTTCACGCAGTGGGTAATTAATCTTTACGATCTTCTTTTGCCCCATCTCATAGATTTATATATATATATTTATGTAGTCTCTTGCAATGGTTTCCTGCTATTAAGGTTAGGTTTTGGCGTTAAAGCTATAATTTTTGCCATAACCCATATCGAGGTTTTCTCATGGAGTACATTTTCTTTTCCGATTTAGAAGGAAAAACGAAATCTTTATTTGTTCGTTTCGTCTTATGTTGGTGTTAAGTCCTATGTTAGTGGTGGAATCAATGTCGGATTGAGATACGCAAATGCCCAGTAAGTAACTAAAAAAAAGATGATTTTTGGGAAATTGCAACATACCCAGTATATTCCCAAACGGGTTGGGGTCTGGAGGGTCAGTTGTACGCATATCTTACCCTTGTAATTATAGAAGGAGG